ACACACAGACTGTGAGTGCACTCCTGGAAAAGAAATAGCCCAAATGATTTTTCACCAGTCAACGCAGCGCAGGTCAGAGCTTCGCGCTATGTTGCAGAACGTGAAGCGCTACATTGCCGTGGGTTTGTTGTTGCGTATCTTGGCCATGCAGGGTGGGAGGGGAGGGGGGGGGGGGAGGGGGGGGGGGAGGGGGGGGGGGGAGGGGGGGGGGGGGGGGGGGAGGGGGGGGGGGGGGGGGGAGGGGGGGGGGAGGGGGGGGGGGGGGGGGGGGAGGGGGGGGGGGAGGGGGGGGGGGGGGAGGGGGGGGGGAGGGGGGAGGGGGGGAGGGGGGGGGGGGGGGGGGGGGGGAGGGGGGGGGGGGGGAGGGGGGGGAGGGGGGGGGGGGAGGGGGGAGGGGGGGGGGGGAGGGGGGGGGGAGGGGGGGGGGGGGGGGAGGGGGGAGGGGGGGGGGGGGGGGGGGGGGGGAGGGGGGGGGGGGGGGGGGGGGGGAGGGGGGGGGAGGGGGGGGGGGGGGAGGGGGGGGGGGGGGGGGAGGGGGGGGGGGGGGGGGAGGGGGGGGGGGGGGGGGGAGGGGGGGGGGAGGGGGGGAGGGGGGGGGAGGGGGGGGGGGGGAGGGGGAGGAGGGAGGGGAGGAGGAGGAGGAGGAGGAGGAGGGGAGAGGGGGGAGAGAGGGAGGGGGGGGAGAGGGAGAGAGGGGGGAGGAGGGGGGGGAGGGGAGAGGAGAGGGGACGGGGGAGGGGAGGGGAGGAGGGAGGAGGGGAAGGGAGGAGGGGAAGGGGGAGGAGGAGGGAGAGAGGGGGGAGGGAGGGAGGGGGGAGGGGAGGGGAGGAGGGGAGGGAGAGGGAGAGGGAGAGGGGAGAGGGGAGAGGGGAGGGGAGGGAGGGGGGGGGAGGGGAGGGGGAGGGGGAGGGAGGAGAGGGGGAAGGGGAGGGGGAGGGGGAGGAGGGGGGAGGGAGAGGGGAAGGGAGGAGGGGAGGGAGGGGAGGGAGGGGGGGAAGGGGGGAGGGGGAGAGGGGGAGGAGAGGGAGGAGGGGAGAGGGGGAGGGAAGGAGAGGGGGAGGGAGGGAGGAGGGGGGGGGGGAGAGGGGGGGGGAGGAGGGGGAGGGGAAAGGGATGGGGAGGGACAAAGAAAACTCACAGCAGAAACGCCACTGAGGTCGGCTCCTTGCCATGTCAGCAAGTGTATCCAGCCAAACGTGTTCACCGTCTTTTGGACCCCAACCAGGGAGCCGTGACGCTCCAACTGAGGCCAGCTCCGAAGTGAGGGCCTTCATTCCTCTGGACCAAGTCATCGCTTGGCCACCTCTCCTCTTCTTCCATCCACACTCCCGGTGAGCAAACAACGCACGTCGCGGGAGTCGGTGGGCTGGCATGCGCAACACGTGGCCCAGCCATCGGAGCCTGGTGCGTGAAATAACGGTGCTGAGCGGTTCAGATCCTTTTCCTGGGCCGTAAACAAGGCGTCGAACACGCTCGTTACTCACGCGGTGTTCCCACCGGATGTGAGCCAAATTGCGAAGGCACCGATGGTCGAACGTAACTAGCCTCTTCATGTCCGCCGATCTTAGGGGCCAGGTTTCGCAACCGTACAGTAGGGTCGAACGTACCGCTGCATTGTACACTCTACCCTTCAGGACGAGAGTAATGTCGCGCCGCCGCCATAAGTGGCGAAGGTTAGCAAAAGCACTTCAAGCTTTCGCTATACGGTTCGTGATCTCGTCTTCGATCCCAAGGGCGCTGATACAACTTCCCAGGTAATCGAATTTCCGAATGACTTCTAGCTGATCCCCACCAAGGGTCAGCGCAGGAGGGGATCCCTGCCAATCTTGGAGGAACGCTTTGCACTTCGATGGTGCAAAGTAAAGCCTGACAGCCAGTGCTAATCTGTCCAGTGCGGCTTGGCACGTCTGGGAGCTGTCACAGATGAGGGCAATGTCGTCTGCATAATCCAAGTCAAAAAGTCGTTCTCCTGGGAGTAGCACCACACCTTCCAAGTCATGTCCTATAAATGCAAACTCCATGGCTTCGTCAATAGCGAAGTTGGAGAGGAAAGGTGACAGCGGGCATCCTTGTCTCACACCGCTGGAGATATTGAAGGGTGGCGACAGCTTGCCGTAAACCCTCACTCTGCCCGTGCTATGCAAATATAATGCTTTATTAATATTTCCATATTTCTCGGGCACCACCTTTCCTGAGTAAACAATTCCAAAGGGCACATCGATCAACCGAATCAAAGACACCTTTGATGTCGAGGAACACGACAACAGTGGGCCGCCAATATGTGTGGCGGTGATCCAACAACTGACGAAAGGTGAAGATGTAGTCGATGCAGCCATGATCCCGACGAAACCCGGCTTGCTCCTCACGAATCTGGCTTTCACGAGCGCCAGTCAGTCTGTGAAGAATTATGGAGGCGAGTAATTTGGAGGCGATGGAGATCAGAATGAATCCTCTATGGTTGCCGCATTCCGAGCGCGAGCCGCTTTTGATGATGGGAACAATAACGGAGCAGCTCTAGTCGGTTGCGGCAGTCTCCTGCTCCCACAGTTTCACTAGTAATTCATGTAAAGCATCAACAAGAGCAAAGCCACCGAATTTGAAGAGGGCTGGAGGAAGATCATCTGGTCCCGCGGCTTTGTTCAACTTCAACATTCGGATCTCACGTTCGACTTCTGAGCGAGAGGGTGGATCCAAAGGGACAGCCCACGGAGCAGGGTGATCAGTGACCGGCGAATCGAACAATTCTAGACGATTAAATTGCTTTTCAAAATGCTCAGCCGAACGCTCCAAACGTTTTGACAAATTGTGGATAGGCTGTCCACTCTCATCACAAATTGTTTCACTAACATCAGGTCTCCTGCTGCCCGTTTCCCGTACCAGACGGAATAACTTACGATGGTTGCCAAGGGCAGCGGCCACTTCCATCTCTGACGCACGATGAGACCACCAAGATTCGCGGTCTCTCTTCAGGCTAGCACGGAGTTTTGCCCGGAGCTCTGCGAGTTTCATTGTGTTCGCTTCCAGCCGGGATATGCCGGCGAGCATCGATAAGTTCCAGAGACCGAGAAGAGACCCAATGTCCATCTTGGTTATTAGACATACCACATGAGGATTTGCCCGCTGCTAGTAAGGTCTGGCGAACATGTGACCAGTGACCATCAATTGTCTCCAGTGAGCGACTACCCAACTCGCATAACAGCGTACTTTGATACGCATTCAGAACAGCTGGCTTCGTCAGTTGGCTGGTGTCAATGCGCTCACAGCGTCGTCGTGGGCGTCCGTCAAAACGCATCCGTATGTCAGCACATACAAGTGCATGATCGGTGTCCACACATGTGCTCCAAATCGAGCGACAATTCTGGATGCAGCCGCTCCAGCGGTAACTGATAGCAATGTGATCGATCTGCGTCCAAGGCAGGTTCGAGGCTGGTGGGCGCCAAGTCACCCTCCGGCGGGTGCTTTGTCGGAAATTAGTGCTCGCAAGAAATAAGCGAGCATCTTCACACAAATGAAGTAAAGGCTCACCGTTATCATTACGGGAGCCTACACCGTGCTGACCGCCCAGATGCATTTCATCAGTGGACAACTTTCCAATTTGTGCGTTCATATCCCCCGTCAGCACAACAGTGTCCATGCTTCTTCTATGGCGAAGGAGCTGAGTCATTTGGCGGTAGAAGTCATTCTTTACCGAATCATCGCTACAGTTTGTGGGCGCGTAGGCAGCGATGATGAATAGATACCTTTTAGTCCCGCACGACTTCGAAGCTTTAAACGAGCCAGCCAATCGGACCGCACACATCCGGCTACTGATTGGAATCCAATCAACCAGAGCAGCTTCAGCCCGGGGACTCAGGCAATGCCAACACCAGCTTGGCCGGTGCTCGAAGCTGCATCGTCACCGGAGAGGCGCAATGAGAAAGTGCTGCTGGTGTCACCTGAAGGGGATCGCAAAGTGAGCACAGAGTCTTGCAGGCGGGTCTCCGATAAGCAGCAGATATCGATTGAGAGGGTCTCTCATGTTCGGACAAATGCTGCCTGTGGACCGATCTGTAGCAATGTGTGTACACTGAGGCATGTCAATCTGAAGGAGGATCGAGGGCTCCAAATGGAAGCCGATCATTTGGAATGGACCGCTTGGTTGGACATGGGCTTGTTGACAGTAGAGGAGTGACGCTCCGCGTCAGCATGTGAGTTGAAATTAGAAGATAAATGTTTAGCAAAGCATGTTGGGGGAGGGCCAAGAATCGGGGGGTTGAAAACAAGGGGGATAAAAATGAAGTTGGAACGGGATAGTAAGAGGGAAAAGGCGTAAGAGGGGGAATAAGAAGACGGGAAGGCTTGAGCAGTAGCATCCAAACCCCTATCCACTCTGCACGATGCAGCAGATAGGACACCGTTGATTATCGTCTGCGGTGGCCAGAGCATCAGCAATTTGTTTGAGGTAAGATTCATGGTATTGCGTGCGCAGGATACTGTTAGGTTGCCCAGGCCTAAACAGGAGAACGATTAGGGTTCTCAACCAAAGCCTTTGGTTCAAAAACCTGACCGCAAGGCAGCGGGTTTGGCGTTGGGCTACAAGGATTCCGTTTTAAGGAATAAGGTGCCACCCTCATTCCAATCCCCAAACTGGAGGACCAGGAGGCTGAGTTTGTCTGGCCTCTAACCATTGACCAGTCTGGTATGAGTGCCTCTGAAGGTGCAAAAGCACCACCCAGTATAGCTCATTGGATCACTGAGCCACACAAACCATCGCACCACGGTAAGTTCCAGCCTCAGTGCGATGGCCATGGTTGGCGGCATCCGGTTTCGGATTTGCCTGTCACTGTGGCAAGCCACAGTATGCCCGCGCCTACAGAGGGACCATGGATGGCTTGCGCTGCACCACCTACAGCTCCAACCACACACCCCATATCCAGTGTAAACCCGAAGGAATAAGACCGGGAGGAATGCGGATGGGAGCCACGTTTCATCAACGGAGCCGGCCCACACTCCTTCACAGGCAAACACAAGCACACTGTATTTGGGGAATCAAGCGCACACAAGTCGGTGGCTGGACCGTAGTCCGCTCCATACTGAGTGCATGCAACCACTCTTCGAGCGTAACACGGCCACAAGGACCGTGCACCCCGTCCCCTCCAGCGACGACCAACTGTCTCCTGGAGCCAGTATGGACGAGGTAGTGGGTAATAGACAGGTAGGCACCTTGTCAACATGCACATCAAGTGCAGCCACACCGGGGATATCAGACAACAGCCAAACACTTGAGAGAGAGAGAGAAAGAAAAAGAGAAAAACTCGTTTAATGCTTAAGGAAACGGTGATATAAACCTTAATTAAATAGCATAGGTAATAAGTTGTTTACAAACAAATCCTAGCTAAGTGCACGAGGTCAGAAAGTATAGTTCACGGAATGCCACGAACGCAAAATGTTATGGAAATCGAATACAATTGGCTGAAGCGATGTGTGCAAGTTAATGGAATAGAGTACATGGAGATATTTATATGAGAAGGAAAAGCATTAAGGTAAAAACTGTAAACCCACCACCTGAAGTAAAGAGACTTAGCATGCAAGCACGCGCTTAGTAAATCGAATTCAGCGTGCATACAAACGCTGCGCCAGCTCGTCGTAATTCTCTGCATGACCCGTCGTCGCTTCTGTAGTGGCCCCAAATGACATAGCTCATGGCCCGCTAGACATTTATATGAGAAAGAAAGGCATTAGGAGAGAACCGAAAACCCACCACCTGAAATAAAGAGACTTAGCATGCAAGCACGCGGTTAGTAAATCGAATTCAGCGTGCCTACAAACGCTGCGCCGGTGCGGCCTACGTTCACTGCGGGACCCGTCGTCGCTTCGGCAGTGGTCCCGAGTGACCTCTCTCATGGCTCACTAGGCCTGCCTGACTAAGGCACTCACGACCGCATGTTCTACAGCACAATGCGCTCGATGTCGATGGAGTACAATTCATCGGTGCTTGCCGCTTCCGCACTTGCCGCTTCTTCTCTGCATGCATGAGGGCTTTCTCCCGCACCTCAGCAACTGCCTTCGTGATTAAATCGCGCCATGCACCACGATCAACCGCCTTCGATTCCCATGATCTGCAATCAAGATTAGAACGTGTGAGGCTCACTTTAATCATGTCCTGGTAACGTAACTTGGGTTTCCCAGCATGCCGCTTCCCTATACTCAGCTGACCGTATAAAAGTTGTTTCGGTATTCGCAGTAAAAGTATGCA